CACCACCACTCTGCTTACCATCCAAACTCTCTAGACCCTCCGTGGTTCTCAAGTCTCCCCCGACATCTCGAGTAGAACTGCCACCCCCTCCCCCCACAACCTCCTGGTGACCCAAATGCCGAACATCTATGTCCCTCTGCCCGACTTTCTCAGCTGCATCAGGTTCGCCAGCTGAAAACTCTTGGTGGTCCGCCCCAACTTTCTCTCTCAACTTCGGCCAATCGGAAAGATGACTACTCGCTTTCCCGGTGTCACTAGGCTCCTTACACTCCACTCTCTTTTCGTTTGCCTCCTTTTCATCCCAAAGGCCCAAGGAGTCCCCAGCAGGCCGCTGACTCTTAGGGCGAATCTCAAATTCTTCCGCTGGCTTTATTTGTGGAACCTCAGTTGCATTTTTAAACTTCTTCCGAATCCCTTGCCTTGAGTGGGTTTCCGAGTCGCCGAGAGATAAATCGTTGTCCGAAACAGGGAACCCGGGTATTTTCTGAGAACCCTCCTGTCCTGAAAGTTCGCCATCGGTGTTTGCCTCGAACTGATACTTCCTCTTTTTCCCATAGTGTTGCGCTTTCTTCGCTTCCCCGTGGATTGACTGAGCGTCACTAGGCCCCTGTTTCTCCTGCTGAGAGATTTTTGACTTGCAGACGGATTTAGTTTCCTTGAATCTCCCCTCCCTTCCCGGCACTTGGAGGGCTTCTGAGCTGCCCAAGAGTGAATCGTTGTCGGATGCCTGGAATCCCGCTGTCGCTTCGGAGCCGGTTTGTTCGACCAGTTCTCCATCAGCATTTTCTTCAAAGCATAGCTTGCTCTTCTCAGCTCGGTTTTGCCTCTTCTCGTCGGTTTCGGGCGTTTCTTGCGACTTTCCGGATATGATTTTTTTTGGCTGCGGGAGTGTAGGCTTGTCCACTTTTATCGAGTCAACTCCCGACATTTTCTCGGACTCGTCAAAGAGAGAATTCCACCCCTCGGATTCTTCTTGTAGCTCTTCTCTAAGCGAAGACATCTGTCTCCCAACCTCAATGCTACCAGAAAACTCCATAGGCCCATCATCCTCACTGTCCGTTATCCACACGGTAGCTTTAGGCTTCTCTAATTTTTTCCCCGATCCGATTTGAGACTTCCTCCCCGAATGAACAACCCCCCAAATCTTCTCCATAACCTCACGCTCTTGTTTCTTCATGCGTAACTGCTCGCGGAGTTGTTCGGCTTCAGCGTTAATTCTTGCAAGTGCGACAAGATGTGGTGCCTTCTTGGCAGCAATCTCAGCTACTCGTTCTGCCGTTCTGGCGTCATAAGACGCGGTTCGTCTATACTTTTTCCGCTGGGTGGATTCGATTCTCTGGGTAGCAGTTCCTCGACCGGTAGATGAAGTGCAAACGGTCTTGTCATCTCTCGCCCTAGCCTTTCCCTTTTTTCGAGACCCTCCCGCGATCTTGGAAGTCTTGCGGCCGGACGGGGGCACATCATCATCCTCGGAATCTTCCCCAGACGACCCAAAACTATCTCCACCACTCACAATGCTATCCACAAACGATGCCCGACCCCCAACAGCAGATGTGTTAGAGATTGAGTCAACTCTAGCCCTTCCCCCCCTCCTCCTACTCGGACCACGGGGGGAGTAGTCCTCGAGGTCAACCAGGAGCCCGACATCAGCTGGCCCCATCGATCTGGTTACTTTTTTTGTAGGTTTATTCGTTTTGTTATTTTTGGTGCAGTAATCCCCGTCCCAATCAGGTTCGGTGTCGGAATCAACGTCAGTGATGTTCTCTGGTGAGCGGAGAATTACAAATTCAACCTTCCGGTTGGTGTTGCGGGCTCTTGAGCGGACACTAGCACTGGGCGAGCGGGCGGGGCCATGGCGATAGGGCGGCATCCTTATCGGGAATGGGGGGTACGAGTTGTGAATGCGATAAATGGGGTGTTTTAGAGGGCGCAGGGTAAGAGGAGGGAAACCTCAAAATTGGTAAGTTATCTTACTACTATAATATTCTATCCAAAAAAATCCACCCCCAATTAAGTTAGCCTCAAGATCTCATTCTCAAAAAAAAGAAGAAAAAAAACTCCCGTCCTGGAGGAATAGGCACGACTTACACTTGAAGGCGAGCCAATGATATTTTCTGAGGGACCGGTTAGTCGGCCGGTTTGCCGTTCCGTCGGGTCTGCTGTTTCCGCAGGAACTTTTTACCCTCTCTCGAAAGGGGAAAGGTCGAGAGGTGGGGGTTTGTGGAGGAGAGAGAGTTGTTGTGGCATCATAGAGGTGAGGGAAAAGGTTGTGAAGAGAGAAGAGGGTGAAGGGCTATAACGAAGGTGCAGGGACCACGTACCACGTACGCGCCCTTTGGGCCAATTGCTCGTCACAAAGCAGAGGACTTAACCCACCCATTTATTTCCCCCGGAAGGCTTTATGCTCAAAGGGCTTTCATACTTGCATTTCAGGTCTATCAAGCAAAGTTTTCGGGGGTGTTAGGTACTCGAGTGAGATGACATGATCAGCATAGTCTAAATACCTGCGATAAGGTTAGAGAGCGGAGCCAGATTCTTGTCTTTCGAGACAAAATATCCTTCCCATCACAGCAATCCCTATTTGGCAAAATTCAATAGACCAGTTTTTTTCTTAAAAGCAAAGCCCGACCTCCAATATCGACCTCTTCCCGCGGCGAAGGCCCGCCATAGCGACCCCCTCCCCGCACCTGTCATAGCAGCAACTCACTCGAGTACAATGCTTCAACGCCACTCTACCCAAACGAACCACCCCCCCCTCCCCTGCCGTTGCCCTTTGCAAACCTTCTTCCGGCAATAAGCCCATAATTTAGGTTCGAACCAACCAAACCAGAAAACCCCTCCGGTACACTAGCCCATGTCAAATCAAGGCCACAAGAAAGCACCCCATAAAATATGAACCCCGCACAGAACAAATTCTCCCTTTACAACACAGAGCTCCCTCACCCGTTTACATACTACGCTATAGCCCCGCAAATCAAGACGCGCCTAAGGCGGCGCCACAATAAACCAACCCCCAAAACCAACCGCTCTGGCAAGAAAGCTGACGGTAGCGAAAGATAAGAGATACTGCAAGGTTCTGCGAGAGGAGAAAGACAAAATGGCCCGATGAAGAAAGGGAAACAGTACCCCCGACAAGAACGGGGAAAGGAAGATATCCCATGCATGGTAATGCGAAACGGACCATCAAACGGGGATGTAATCCACAGGATGGCCCACATGATGTCCCCAGATAGTTTCTTCCCCTCTTTCAAAGCACCTATTGACTATATCCCCAGTCCTCCCAATCGAGACAAATATATTCTACACAGTAGCGCACTCCCCCCGCAGAAGCACCTTCTTGCCTGGTATAATACTGCGCTGCAGGCACCGCTAGACAAAACGAATTACCGGATCATACTACGGTATCTATACGAGCTACGATATGATAGCATGTCGGTCGACGCTTATACAATTACGACACTGGAAGAGACCAAAAAACTCCCTGCAATATCAACTCCTCCAAGCACAAGCCAGTAAACATTAGCACAACACCCTCTCCTCGAAAAAGAAAAAAAAATCCAAAAAGTCGTCGGAATCCGGTCCGTTTACAAATTCAAAGAACTCCTTATTGTTTCCTTCTTGGAGGGAAGTTAACTGCTGGCGCATATACAAACCCCCCCGGTCCTTTTTTAATTTTTTTTTTCAGAGCTAAATATCAAGACTCCACGATACCGCCAAACCACAACTTCAGCAAAAATCCAACCGGGAGGACCACTATCACAGCACCTGAGAGAGAAGCAGAAGCCCAACATGGCCGCGGCGGAGGAGGAGGAGGATGAGGACCAAAATATTATGTTATCAAACCAGCCAGCAACTAGGAAATAACCTATAGCCACCACTAGTGAACCTAATCGAATGAGGTATAACGGATACCCACACGGATATTCCCACAACCCGAGATCCTTATACGATGCCATAATAAGAGAAGCCAAATCCGGACAGTCTATCATATCATAAGTCCGCACGCCTCCCAGCACCCCCACCGCCACCCCCACAATTTATCATAATATTACCATGCAATCCAAGAAACGCCCCAGACGGAGCCTACCAAATCGCACATATTATATCATACCATCTAAACCCTTCCTTCCTTCCTTCCTTCCAAAATCAGGACAACGTTTCCACACCGGAGGGGAATGATCAAGCAGTGAGAATATCACAACAGCAAACTTCACTCTTACCCCATTAGGCCTAAAGCCAGCGCACCAGACTACAGTACTAATTAAGCCCAAGTATGGAAACTTACATAACCATTACGGATAGTATCATACGGTACTCCAAGATCATACATCATGTACGAGTACTCATGCCGCCCAGCGAGTACTAGTACAGCAAAAAACACCAGACCAATCACCGCCAACAACCGACAATACGGCACAGTACAGTATTGTACAGCATTGTATAATACCATATCACACAGTAGATATATAAACAACCCCAAACCACCAAATTCTCACTTTTACACCACGTACTGTGCAGCACCGCGCCGTGCCCGCAACCACCATTTATCCATTTATCCCTGGATACGATACTCGCGATGGCTAACTTACTAACTTAAGCCTACAACGATACATTACGCACAACTGACATGGGGTGCTGAATATACTACCGCTTGCCGTCTCCCAATCCGACAGTTAAAAAGCCGGGCGAGAACGGCGAGCATGCCAGTCTAATTCTCGCAAAAGGAGCTGGTCAATCGCTCAGGCCGGTTTCGCTGAATATCGTCATACAGTGTGAGAAGCGGAGCGGGTCTGGTTGATGGGAGGATGTAATGGTGAGAATATAAATTCGCGATATCGGTAGGTAACTTGTCGTTTGGAATTTCGCTGCATGCTTGCGAAAGGAAAGAAAGAAAGAAAGAAAAGAATGGTGATGATCCCAAGTCCAAGGATGAAAATTCTATCCATATCTTACACGGCATATAATTAAGCACCAGTTACGCCCCCCCCCCACCTACACTACCAATCGACGCCAAACCATCCCCTCCCATCGTCAACATTGACCCACCCCTTCTCCTCCACCGCCGTCTGCCAGCCCATAACGACCGCCAAAACCCTACACGTATTCCCATTCCCACCGCAAAACAGCGTGGAAGCCGCCTCGCCGAGGATCTTGACGTCGCGAAAGTACTCCCTGGCCATGTTGGTCACCGCTTCGCTTTCGCCAGCGCGCGCGTCTCCAAAGGCCTGTCTGGTCCACCCACCAGGCAATATATTGCGGGTGTCTGGAGGGGGAGGTGGGAGCTGAGCGGGAGTGTAACTCGCGAATTCCGCAAGGGAGTATACCTCCGGATCATCGGACGATAGGAGGACGGTGGCGTTGCCCCCAGCATTAGCGGTAGCGGAGGATATCAAGTCTGCATAGTGGGACACAGGAACGTGCCCTGTTTTCCTCCACTCGAAAGCTTTATCCTTGCCATCGCCTCGGCGGATTTGCACGGCCAGCACCTTCCGGTTGCCGCCTTCCTCTTCCAGCTGATTCTTCCGCGCCTCGACAGCTTCCTCGTCGGCCGGCGACAGGCGCAGTCTGAACAGCGCCTCGTATCCGCTCCTCGCAAGCGCAAAGATCTTGTGTTGCCGCTGGACTCCCATTTTCCTTGCATCTTCGAAGAAGTCCGTGAAGGCGTGGCCGAATGTTGCACTCGTAGTTGAGTGCGCAACGAGCAGGTGAGGGGCTTGATTCACGCAGGGGATGACAATGCTAGGAGGCGGGGGGCGGCAGGAGGGTTTTCGCGGAAGGAAATAGGTGGCATAAGTTCCCCATGACCTATCCATCCACAATTAGCCACGCCGAAAGGAGGACGAGGGGAGGTGGATTAACCAATTACTATCATCCACAAAAAACGTCCTATTCTCACTCATCGCCAAACCATAAGCGCTCCACAAACCAAGCAACATCCCCCCAAGCCCCGGATCCGAAGAATCAAGCATGTACGTCAGACTCCTCTTGCAAACCCCCCTCAAGGCCCCTTCGTCCTCAACCCTCGGATTCAAAAAGTGGTCATCGACCCAGTAATACCCATGATGCGCATGTCCCCCATGTCCCCCATGCCCCGCAGCGGCAGCGCTCGCCCGCCCAGCAGCACGGCACATCTCACCGTACACATGCGGTCGCAGCAGACCGCCAAGATTATCGGGCAACCTCCACGTCCATTTCTGGTTCCCCTCGCCGTAGTCCAGCATGGTGGGCTCCACGCTCGTTATACTCGCCGGGTCGATCTCGCTCGGCTTCGGCGAGGCGGGAGGCTGGAATACCAGGAGGAGCCAGACGATGCTCGAGAGGACGATGGCGATCAGGAGTACCCTCCCGCGGGTCAGTCCCGAACCTGCCCTCCTCGGCTTGTCATCGTCATCGTCCTCCTTCCCGTGCCGCGGGAGGAAGGGTTCCTCGACTGCGCTGCGCTGGCGGTGATTCGTTTGTGATGGGGAAGGCATTGAGACCGGCTCTACTATCGTTGCTGTGGTGGTGATGATGGGTGGAGTGAATGGACGAGGGAACTGGCCGGCTAGCTGGCTGACCGGGGAGTCGATGGAATTTGTAGTGCAGTCCTCTCAGGTTACACGAGGGGGTGGAACCACCGACAAGGGTTTGAAACGTGACGGATGATACACTAGCCTCCGCCCATGTGAAACGGGCGTTTTAGCATCTCATCCTTCTTCCCTCCACGGTACAAGTACAGTACGGTACTGCAGTCTACCATACCGGTATCTGATTACTATTATCCTGAGAATCTAGATAACGTGACCACTCCATTTCCTAATACAGTACAGTACTCCCTCCATTCCATCAAGCCAATACATAGATAATGAGCACGCAGAAATCCACCAAAAAAAACCCCCCCCTCCCAAAGAGCCTCCCTCTCCACAGCCAGACCTATTATAAACTTAAGCCAACAGCCCATGATAGGAATAGATACATCCTAAATCAAGCCTTCAAGCACTTTTTTTTTTTCTTCCCTCGCACATTTTCCACCATAACCCACCAAACCCGTGTATGTATTACACTATATAAAGTATAGCCCAGCAAGACAAGCAAGTACGGTACAGTACAAGTACAGTAAGTCCACCACTCAAACATCCAAATCCAAATCCAAATCCAACACGGTGGCGCGATATTCCCGCTAAATTACCACCGCGCATGTAGGTTAACAAAATTGCAAGGAAGCGCTATGCGGAGGATTAAACGTTAGGCGTGGATTATAGTATATCGGTGGTATAGTACTGTGCCGCAAGGAGGGAGGGAGGGCTACTCTGTGGTACAGTACAATACGAGTACACTTTCTCCGGGGGTGTGTACTCAACCACGCTGCCTTGTCATGCGCTATCAACCTATCGTACCGTGCGCCTTCCGGACCGTCATTAGCTAGCGGCTAACCCACTTGCGCTCACCCAGTACTCGTAAGCAATGGCTGGTATCATAGGCAATTCCTCCCGCTAACGAGACACTAAGCAAAAACTAACCCAACCCTCGAGCAAAACTCCTCACAATCCCATAGAATCACTAAAGTCAAGTAGCACAGCATAAATGATCACTCGGAACTGCTTTACCGCACCCAAAAAGAAGACCAACCGATAATACACAAATTTTTTTCTACGTCATAAGAAATAGATAATACAGCAATTATACCTCATCAATCACCGCTTTCCTTCCCGTTCCCCCCGCCCGCCTCGACCCCCTTACCCTACTCCCCCGCCCCCTTTCCCCACCTAACCAGGCCCAGAAACGCTCCATCCCGAACCCCGGTGGGACAACTGCACTCCTCCTATAAGGACTAAACCAAACACCATCTCTCCCATCACCCCTCTTCTTCCTCTTAGGGCCTGTTTGGATACGGCGGTTCGGTTCCCCCACACAAACGACCGTTACCTTCTGTTTTGAAGATGCCAAGACAACCATTTCCCCAGGTAAAATCATCAATGAACAGAATGGTCGAGCCGCCTTCCGTTCCCGCCAAACAGGCCCTTATCCATTATCCCACCCGGCCCTTTTTGTCCCCCCGGGCTTCCAAACAACCCCTTTCCACCAAGCATCGCCGCAGACCTCTCCGCCCTTTCCGCTGGAAACAGCTCAACCGTTCCGGTAAACGCTTCCGCGTTTGCAAAGTTCATTTTTTGCACCGATTCCTGCGCCTGGGGAATATAACTTGACGCAATGTTAGAGCGGAGCGGGAGCGTGCTGTATTGGTAGGTTTCACTGAATTTTTCGCTGAGAAGGGGGGCCGAGTCACCGGAAATATCCCATTCCGTCTCACCATTCGGTGAAGCGGTAGAGGTGGGAGTGTGGAAGAATAGCTCCTCAATGGGGTATGTAAATGCAAGCGGGGGCGGACACTGGATTCGTATGTAGACCGCGTTGAGGAGGGAAATGAGCCTTTTCGCTTCGTTTTTTAGGGAAGGGTTTAGTGGCGGGACAGCGCAGACGAAGAGGTTGTGGAAGGTAGATGTTAGAGCGATGTCTTCTAGGCCAAGGCTTTCCGAGAGGAGATCAGAGAAGAACACTGCTGTTCCGTTTTGGACTTTGGGGACGGGAATGGGGCGAGAGAAGACCGTCAGGGTTTCTGGCGTCCACCGGCCATTCTAGGGCACTATCATAATTCCCCGGCTGGAGCAGTTGTGATGGCAGAACCTATCAATTCATCCCACCTTCCGTCAGCCTTCTCTCCGCTCTCTAATAAGCATTACTGCCTCCCATCTCCACCTTCACCCGGGGGCGAATCACGAGACGACCCAAACCCAACCCTCCACGATTTCTCCTTCCGCTCCTTCCTCCAATCCTCCCCCTGTCCATTGTAAAACCTGACACCTCTGTCCAAGCACCTCCACGAACCTTTCAAACTCCGGATGCCCTCCGGACCCCGCCACCCTACCCACATCCCCCAGAGCACGATTACCACTTCCAACCAGTACACCGCCCAACCCTCAATACTCCGTCAACAACCCTCGACCATGCGCACACTATCTCTATCCGGCATCTGTAACTCTCCTAGGAACAGCACGCGCGCAGTTTCGAGCGCCTTCCTAGCCAACATCACCAGCGAGAATTCCTCTAGTCCCAACGCCCCCTCACCCCGCTACGTCGGGGGTTCTCTAGGCCGGAGAGGGCACGCAGCATGAAAGCATTGTAGTGCCACCGCTGCTTGCGAGTTGGCATGGGATAGTAGAGGATATCCAGAAGCATAGACTTCCCAGTACCCACCCCGCCGTGTAGGAGGAACCCTTATGGAGTATCAAACTCGAGAGCGGATTCGGCACTCGTCAGTAGGCGGATCAATTCCTTGCCATTACCGCCACCCCAGCTGGTGAAGGACACGGACTCCGATGGCGAAGGCTTGGCGGTTAGCCTTGCGGGGGACTGCAATCGGTTGTCCAATTCTGCTGGTGGGGTGTACCGTAGTCCGGAAATCTGCGGTACACACCCTGTAGCACTAAGGCAGCCCTGCGGTGTGATGGGTCTGGGCAGGATGCTCTTGGAGAGGACGTGAGAGCGGTATATGCGCAGCGGGTCAGTTATCGCTAAACTAGACGGCCGTGGGGGCATGTCTAAAATCCGGGGGCTGGTGGAAGCTGAAAGCTTGAGGCCTGACAGATTGAAACTGTGGCCCAGGGAACTGAGATCGGGTACCGTACAGTACAGTGCTGTGCACGAGCACCGGTATCGTGGGTGGGCTGGATGACGTTCCTGCCAAGAGATACCTCGCACAAGTTTGATCGCCCCCAAGAACTTAAAAAAAGAATAGGTTGCAGGGATCGGTTCAGGCACCACACAATAAGGTACCCATCCCATGCCATACCCGTCTCGTTTACTGTGCGCCAGAGTTCCAAAACACCGGTAGCAGTTCGAGTGCCTCTCCAGAGCCTAACCCTTCGGGGGGGTTGAGCGTCGCATGTTGTATGTAGCCCTTCCTCGCCCCCTTACAACCCGGTAAGTTAGAGTTGAGCTTCCGAGAAGAGAGCCCGATGGATAAATTCGTTGAATAATTGACAACCTCGGGTCTCGAACCCTAGTAAGCCGGAAACCCGCATTTATTCATTTATCTACCGGTGTTTATTCATTGCCGCAGTCACTTCAGCAGCAGGTCTTGGTTACGGTACTGTACACACGGGTACCGATACTGTAAACGTGTAACTGCCGCTCGACCTCTCCGCTGGAGCTCGACGGTTATTGGAGGTCTCGAGCAGGGTAGGATATCACAAAATAGCAGATGTGGCTGTTGATTGGAACTCGGGGGAGACGATGGGCGAGGGGTGATGAGGGGGGGAAGAGAGAAAAAAAAGGATGGGCCCGGCGTTGATTAGCTTAGCCTAAACTCCCAGGCCATTGTACTCGTATGATACCAGTACTCGTACCTGTACCCACTAGTACCGATACCGTGCGGTGCTCACGATGCCGCTTGAGTGTATCCACAACCGTACGGCATGATGCGAGGGGAAGGATCCCAACACCAGCTGAACCGCCACCTGCCACCGACGGCATAACCGCATCCTTACTGCAAGAGAGCCACCGGCATCACTCGGTTCGCAGCTTCTCTCCTCCCTCTTCAGATCCTTATCGCACGGGTCAACTCGACACAAGTTACCTGGCCATCAGTCCACCGCCTCCTCCGCCCTCGTATCGTATGATAGCGGTATATCACACGAGGCTGCCTTACATCACGGTACGAGTATTGCATGGCAGGTTCTGGTGGCTGCAAGCATGTCACTCAACACCGGTATTCGCACACACCCCAGCCACGCACAGACATCTTATATCAGCAGGAGAAATATGAGGCCGACCAAATAAAAGCTAAAAGCCACACACACCTCTCGCGCGAAAAGTCCGAGTACGATGCGGTGGAAGGGAAAAGAAGGAGAGGGAGCAACATCACACCGATTGTCCCACTTAGACCTCACCCTCCTCCCACCCAGGACATGGTCCAGGAAGGGGCGACAAGGAGCGCGGTACGGTAATTCAGGGGAAGAAGAAAAAAAATGCACAAAAGTACAAGTAACGCTGCATAATAATTAAAATTCAATATAAAATATGAGAGGAGGCGAGATCTGATTGGAGAGGGCTGGGAGAGGAAAATGCGGTACAGCACTCGTACCGATCTCGATATTGTGATGGCGGCACTCGTCACTGGTGGGCGAGTCCAGTCACCGTAGGGTATGGTACTCGTACCGTATGTCCCTACCGTGTTGAGGAGGAATCGAGGACCGGCAACGAGCGGATCCGCTGGCCCTCCTCCGTCAAGCCGAGTGGGATCGAAGATGGTTCGAATCCCGCTTTGGGCTCTCTCCTCCGTTGACATCAGCATGCACGCAGCGATACTTGTGCTCGAGTAACCGTGACGCAGAGGGAACGAACAATGTCAAAGTCGAGTCACGCCCCCATGATCCGACGAACCGACAAACACATTGTGATGTGGTGATGCCACAGCACTCGCACAGTACTGCACTGCATGCACGGTAGAGTGGTCGTACCGCACTGCACTCGTACAGGCAAAAGGCCCACGCTGTAACCATCCCCAAATCCAAGCGGCAGGACAAGTGCTGCCCACCCTGTCCGCAAACGTCGTGATGGTTAAGCAAGACCATAGCCAACCGGACCCGGACCCACGGTAAATCCAGGCCGGGCAGAGCGAATGATGCTACTGTACGGTAGCTTTACTCGAGTAGAGTCGAGTCCAGCAAACTTCTCCCATAGCAATGGCGCTCGCCCGGGGAAACCTAACCCACGCGCGCACCGCCATTTCTCCAATCCCTCCAGCGAAAGCAAGGCTCCACGCAGCCCCCCATCCCAGACCGCATCCAAGCCTCAGCCACCCCAGCCAACCAGAGCCGGCCACCACCCCGGAAATCCTACTCGTACCGACCAGAAGCTCCCACGAGAGGGAAAAGACCGCGATCCAATCCCGTTTCGCGCGTTCCCATCGCAAGCACTTTCCCGTTTTCGGACCCCAACTAACCACATTCACCGAACAAGGATAACAAATGTGGACTTCCGCCCCCCCTTTCGCCTGCCGCTCCGGGTCATGATGGGCGTGAGTTGTGTGTGTGTGCTTGTGTGTGTCGGTACCGGTATGATTGCGTTAAGTTGGCGATGTCATAGTTACCTCTTTGCCCTGCTCTGATTTTTTACTTGTGGCGGTGGATTTGTGGTTGTTGTGGTGTTGGTGTGTGAGGGCTTTGCCACCGGGATGCTTGTCCTAGAGTTCGGTAGTTTTCTTTTCTTTTTCTTTTCTTTTTTCTTCTTCTTCTTCCCCGATGGCGGTGATTTGCGCCTCTATCCTCTGCTCGAGCACGGTATTCGCGGTCTACGGGTACGGGGGGGGGGGGGGGGATTGATAGGAATCCATGGGCTTCGGGTGCGGGGGGTAATCGTGCGAAGCTGTGCTGTGCCTGACTTATTACCGGTATCTCTCCTGCACTACTCCCATATTTGCCTAAGTTACCCGTACAGTACCTTTCATACCCACTTGCCATGCGGTACTTTACTCGTGTACGAGTACACTCGACAAGAGTCGACTGTCTTGCTCGCACTACAACAAGTATGATAGGATTGTGCGGGTATAAGGATGCGAGGTTTACAGTGATGTACTCCTACGGTGATCAATCCTTTCCTTTTTTCCCTTTTTTTTTTCTTCCCATGTGGGCTACCGGTATTGTGTGGAGTGCGGAGTGTGGAGTGTGGAGTGGATGGTACAGTAGATGGTAGATGTTAGACTACCGTAGATGGTGGATGAACTGATGAACTGTGGGGTGGAGTGGGAATGGCCACGCAGGAAGGGAGAGAAGGGGGGGGGGGAAGGAAGGGAAAGAGGGAAAAAAAAAGAAAAAAAAAGAGAGAGGCTGCAACTGGAGCATCATAACCTCTTGCTGCGCTGTACTAGTACGGTACGAGTACCACAATTTGTGCTCCCATGCCATGATGAAGAGAGAAGGAGATGGTTTGTTGGGTGAGACAGGACCGTGACCGAGAGCAGCAGCGAGCATCCGGCAGCGCAAGCCATTTATCGAGGCGGCATCGAAGCGGATCTAAACATTCCGGTACCGCTCCCGCCAGTTCTCACATTGCTTACCGCTTCTCAATTCCAATAAATTGCGTGCAGAGCAATCGATACGCATTGTCAGGATATGATAATCCGGTGCCGGTATCATGGCTGCGGCACCTTATCACTGCGAGAGCATTTCGTTACTGTCATTGCGTGTTGCGCTTATTTAAGGTTGGCTCAATTGAGGGTTGGGCGGGAAAGGGAGAGAGGAATCCACGGGAATGGGAAGGAAAGTGGGTTTGTGTACAGTGCAGTACAGTACAGTAGCACAGCGTGTGCGGGTAATTGGGAGAGCAGGGCCAGAAGAGGACGAGGGAATGGAAAAGGGAAAAATATACAGGTGCACACTGCACAGGGAGAGGGGGAGAGGGAGGGAAAGAGGGAGAGAGTGAAGGAACCGGGATTTTTGTGAGGGTCGAAAACATATCGATGGGCTCTGTCTGATAATTACAGCGTTGCCGGGGCCAGACTGGCCGACGGTCAGCCCCAGAGAGGCACAGTCATGCGACCGACCAAACAGGAACGCTGCTCACCAGGACGGACCTTCCCATTTTCCCTTTCCACTGGAACTCCCTCCATTCATCATCCACCCTTCACACACACACAAAACACCTCCACTCCAGCCTCTCTCCGCTCCACACTCCTCTGCCACCACACATCCCTTCCATACACATCTGCCACTCAGCTCCCGGAACTGACTGACGAACTAGAGAGACTACTACATGTCCGTGGCTGTCTGGCCAATTTCGATTTTCATGACCTTGTAGCCCACTCGTGTGCAGAACCAGAACCGGACCCGAGAGCGGAAGGGAGGCATGCGAGGCTGAGGAAAAAAAAACAAAAAAAAACAAAACAAGAAAGAGCTGATGGAATGCTAACGAGCAGTGAGCGAACGAGAAAAGACAGCAAGCAGCCACAATCACGAAAGCCCACCAGAACACTTCCGAACGCCCATCCCCTTCTCCCTTCAACTACTTACTGACAACTACTTACACTACCGACGCTTTTGACCAAGAGACGGACTTCATTTTCTGAAGGGGATCTTTTTTTAATTTTAATTTTTTTTTCTGAAAGGAAAGGGAGAAGGAGGATTATCGTCGGAAATTATCACGACAGCTAGAGAGGACTTCCGTCCACCCCTTTCCACCCAAGAAATTCGCTTCCTTCCCTACCCACCCACCGCCAACTTTCCCTTTCCAACCCCCCCTCCCTTCAGAATCCTACCGGTAACCTCAACACGAGACCCTTCCCGTAACCTTCAGTTGCCGTTGGGAGAATTGTCCAAGGGGGGCCCTCTCCACGGTCGCGATTGAATCCATCCATCTCTCCCACCATCCACTGGCACCATCCACCATTCCCCCTCCACTATCCACAATTCCGTCTGCTCCCCGCAGGCAGAGCCACCACGGTTCGAGTTCACGCCTTCCATCACTTATCGCAGCCTCATCAACCCCGGATCGGACAACAACATTGCGGAGGGGAAAATAAAAATAAAACGTGCGCCCATAACTGAAGGGAAGACGGGACTGGAAGGAGGAGCGGAAGAAGGGGAAGAAGAAAAAGTCCTAAAGGGATTTTTTTCCTTTTCTTCTCGTTCATAACTCTCGAGGGAAGGGAAAAAACATTTTTATTTGTTTTTCTTCTCGAACCCGACGAGCGCTCATTGAGGGAATCACTCTTTGTATACCGTGCTTTTGATCTCTGTTGTCGCCTTGATCTCCCGACCATTCCGACTGCGGTCGCGACAACCACTTGCTGTTCTTGGTTGAGTTGCGAGGCGGAGGATGCTCCACCAGCCCTACTCTTGCTTCCCACGATAGCCATAGCGAGAGCGACCACATCACATAGCCGACCGACAGCAACGGGAGCAGCAATAACAGCGACAGCGGCGGAAGCTAGCTATTTACAATTCCAATCGGGAAACACAACAGACTCTACTTGAGAAAGCTTCAAAGGGGGAAACGGAAGAGGAATTGGTTGATTGATTGGTTCACAGCCGTTATTGCTTTTTTTATTTCCTTTTTTCTCTTCATTATTTCTTGACTTTTTCGACAGAGGGAAAGGAAAGAAAGAGAGAAAGAAGGAAGGAAGGAAGGAAAGAAGAAAAAAAGACAAGAGTCATCATAGAAGTCGAGGGAAGGAAGGAGAGTGAGGAGAGTGAGAGTGAAGAGAGGAAGAGAGAAGAAGAAAAGAAAAAAACGGTAAGTGCATTTGCATTCCTGCGTTATTCAGCTCTACTGCATTCAGCCCCTCTTCCTCCTTTCTCTGTTCATTTTTTGTAGGGGGGGGAGGTATATGGGGAGATGTTATGAGAGTGTGAGAGCAGAGCCAGAGTGAGGTTTGAGGTTGAAGCTGGGTCGAGAGAGTGCTCGAGTACAATGGCCCCATATCCCACATCCACCGCACACGACACATGCAGCTCCAGGTCCGCTGCTACTGTTGCTGCGCCTCAACCCTTTCACTGCCCTTTATTATCATTATTATTATTATTTACCGGTATTCAATTCCCAATCGGCATGAACTCATGATACCTCGATCTGGCGATAAATTCTCTTTTTTTATTTTTATTTTATTTTTACACTTGCCATTCCGCCCGTCTATATGTCGATTCTTCAATATTTCGATTTTTGAATACTTTTTCCCGTCAAATTTTCGTTATCATCATTGCTTCGGTGCCCGTGCCTGGCAGAATTTCTATCGTATCGTACCCTTTTTTTTTTTGGTTCTGCCAACCATTCTGCCTTACCGGACCATCATTACTCTTTTCTTCCATTTCGCCTTTCCCCTTTTTTTTTTATTTCTTTTTATTTTTTTACCCTGCAGTGCTCTTCTGCACCGTTTGCTCATACGCATCGGTTGCTTTTTTCCCCGGCCCTGTGGATGATGATGCTGATGATGATGATGATGAGGCTGACCAAACTGTTGTCTCGTTTCCTCTCTACCAGATACTATCAACCGTACTGTTTCCCCCCACCTCCCCCCTTTTTTCTCTCTCTGAGGAAAAAATAAAATATAACCATTTGACGGTTCTATTTTGCTTGGCCTCCAGGCTGCAATATATCCCATCTCCTGCGAGACGATACGAAACACGGCAATTCTAAAGGAGAAACCTTTTTCCTTTGGAATTATTTTTTCGTGTCGTTGCCTGCCTGCCGAAACTCGTGATCAATACCAGCTGAATATCATATCATCAAGAGCAACCCGGAATTATACCTTATCCGGGTCACTTCTTACCCACCCGACCATCTCGACCACTGAGAGTTGTCCGGATCATCCATCCATCTTATCTTGCCATCTTCCTGGGGAATAATTAACGATCCCCGGCGGATACAAGAGAGGAGAGAGAAAAGGGGAAAGGGGGAAAGGAAAGGCTGGGGCGCGATCCGTCCGTACACCTTTAGCGGAGGGAAGAAGAAAAGAAGGTAGTTACCTTATTTTCTTCTCCGGAGCCTTTTTGGTGTTTTGCTTTTCGGCCCGAGGGCTAATAATAACCAGCGAACCAGGGACCGACCCTACCGACTTTGGTATTTGACATTCGGTCCAACGGGGCAACGGTTGGAAGGGAAGAACAACATTCATCCATTATACACAGTGGGGGGAGCCTTGTAATTCAACTGATATAATCCTTTTCATTTTCCTTTTTCTTCCTTCTCTTTTCTTTTTTCAACCATTATTTTCATTTTCCCTGGGATTTTATTCATTTCTTTTCGGCTTTCATTTCGACTGGCTGGGGACTAGACTGGACAGGACAGCACTCGTACAGACAACCGGAGCAGCTGTCTTGGTTGGTTACTCAAAAGGGCCACTCTGTGGTACTATACGGGTCGCACACGCTTATAGGGCTGGCGTTTGGCCGGCAGGTTGTACCAAGGGAGAAAATACGTTAAATACTGGTAGGTACCATCCGAACCCGCTTATTCTTGGTTCCTCTTCCAAACGATCGACATTGCCCCTACGCCTTTATTTCCCATTATTTACTTTTCCTTCCTGCTTTATTCTTATTCTTACCCCAGCGGGCTGGCTCCGAAGACCTTCCCTCAACAAACATTGCTTGATCCAGCATATTTTCTTTTCCCAAAGCCTCTTTTCTGTTTTTTCTTTTTACAATCCGTTTCACTTTTTTTTTTTGTCTTACGCAAACTGATCGATTCCATCCAGGGGGGGAAAGGGCTATATAATACTTTTGCCATGGCGTCCCAATTCTCTGGCACTAACGGTGCCGATATTAAAACCTCTCCCGCTCCCGCCGGAACGTCAAAAAACCTACCACCATTATCGACAAAGCTTCCAACTCTAACGCCTCAATCACAGCTCACCGGAGCAGCCGCATCAAACCGACAGCGAAGCCCCTCACCAAAGATCATGTCGGAGGAAAAAAAGAGCAACATCCCCGCCGCCACAACTTCCACCACGACTACCACCAATGAACCACCAAAACAGTCCCCGAATCCCGCAGCGCTGTTAACTGCTGGCTTTGGGGTGAGTACTCCCACGGACGCGCCCAGGGAGGCTACTCCTTCCAGGGAACTTGGCAGCCTACCCGGTGTCGCGGCGGCAGCTGCGGCGATGGAAGAGCGCCAGTCCCCAACAGCAACCACCTTGTCGGGAACGGACAGCGCGGGTCTTGCTCCCGCACCACCACTACCGCCGCCACCACCACCACAAGACGCTCCGTCGCTTCTGCTGCAAGATCCGTACCCGCCTCTCCAACCTCAACCTCCCCCGCCGCAACTAGCCCAGACACCGCAACAGCAAGATCAACAGGACGCAAGCACTTCCGCATCCTCACAATTCAACCCAAATCCGACCACTCCGGTAACCCCCTTCAGTCCCTCCGGCTCTAGCGCCGGTGTCCGAGGAAAACATACCTGTCCACATTGCATGAAGACGTTCACGCGCCACCACAATCTCAAATCACACCTGCTCACACACGCTCACGAGAAGCCATACCTGTGCACAACCTGCCAAGCACGTTTTCGCCGCCTGCACGATCTGAAGAGACATTCGAAGCTGCATACCGGCGAGCGGCCACACGTTTGCACCAAGTGCGGACGGAGGTTCGCCCGCGGGGATGCGTTGGCGAGGCATGCCAGGGGCGAGGGTGGATGCGCGGGGAGGAGAGGGAGTATGAGTGGGTTGGGTGAGGATGGAAGTATGGGTGTTGGGGAGCATGAGGACGAAATCGGGGACCTGGATGGCTTGATGGATGATCCGGATGGGGATGTTATCATGGATGATGCTGGGTCTCCTGCTGGCGCGAGTGGCAGTGCGGCCGCGGGGGGAGGAAGACGCGGACAGTCACTACCCTCCCTCCACATACCAAATACCCCCATGACTCCCCCGAGCACATATCCTACCACTGCGACACCTATGAACCCGAACAGCAGCGCGTCAACCGCCTCCTCTTCAACGACTCTGACGGGCCGCCACCCCCATCACCATCACCCCCCCCCAGCACCACCATCCGCACCACAGCACTTACCCACCGCCTGGCACCCGCTCATTAGCTACCCCCTCGACGGCTACAAATCCCCCATCGGCTACGTCCACCACCTCATCCTCTGCCCCCGGCCAAACCGCACTCTCAGCATCGGCCCCCAGTCCCCCACTCTTTACTTCTAGCATCACTTTCAACAGGCCTCCCGCTCCCGCTACTACCCCTACCCCTTCTTCCACCGCCGCTGCTACCACCGCTAATAGCACGGTGCTCTCACCAGCAGGCGTACTCACTGATTCCCCGGGAGCGGTAAGTCCCGGAATGACGCGCGAGCGCACACCGAGCTTTACCAGTTCGGGGGGATTCTTGTCACCGCCGGGGCCGGTCGTGACGAGTTCTAGTGCGGCGGGCGGGAGGTCAGGCGGGACGGGAGCAGCAGGCGGAGGGGCGGGGAGTAGTAATGTTTTCGCAGCGGGGATGGACGGTGTATGGGCTTACATCCGTAGTTTGGAAGATAGGGTCCGGTTATTGGAGGAGAGGGCTGGAAGTAGGGAATAGGCATGCGCGGAATGGTTGCGGGGGATGAAGGGGGGAAGGAATAAAAGTGACTTTTTACATTCCCCTTTGTTTCTTTCTCTTTTTCTTTCTTTTATTTATTTACATTTTTACTTTGGTCTGGATGGATCGGCGGATGGATGAACCCTTTTCTGCTTTCCTCTCTATTTTCCTCTTTTCTTCCGGTTTTCGAACGTAGTAGTTTTATTTCAACCTTTTATCGTTTTACTTGCTGTTTTGTCATGTTTGTTCTTGTTTGTTTGGATGTAGTTAGTTAGTCAACCCTCTCCTAACCCTTCATCCCTCCCCATGAACGATTCACGATAACTGACTGATTGATTGATTGATTGACGCACGGAAGACTTCTACCACTTTTATTTACCACCGCTTGTACTTGGCTACCGACGTAGTGTATGCAAGGGAAGTTTCTTGTGGGGGTTACCCCATATGATATTTTTTTCTTTTCTTACATGGTTGATGGTGGTAGTTAGGCTGTCGTATGAATACTGAGTTTTACTATTATTGGTATTTTGGGTGCGAGAATGAGGGATTAGGGGGGTGGGAGTTGTGTATGCTAAAGAAAGGAAAAGGGTCAAGGCAAGTTGTGGTTCTGATATTCTATTATTTGTTGTGGAGGCTATGTAACAAGCTGCATTCTCGCTTTAGCTATAAGCTGGGTGCGTGATCGACTTTTATATTCCCGGTGTGTCGGATGGCTCGTTTAAAGTTGACCTTCGGCTTCGGTAGCCCGCGCTATAGTACACCCTCCGACACCTGCCAGGCGATCAGACATCACCTTCCCACGGCACTACATCGCACCACAACCATCAGGCAGCCCCTCACCCGGGACCCCAAGCCTCACCGCTTCCCCCAGCGCCGTGGCGTCCTCACACGCCCGCCCTTCCCGCCGCCACGACATCACGGCAGTCGTGCCCGGGAAGGTCGATCCAGCGCACCCCACCCAGTCCCAGGGCAACATGGAGCTCCGCACTGCACAGCACTGCGCAGTATACTACAAGATCCGTCCTCGATCCACCCACCATACCCTTCTAAATATATATGATATATATTATTCCACGTCTTAGAATAGTAACCCCCGCACCACCCTCCTCCTCCTATTGTAGTTGGCAGGCTCAACCGGGGTGTGACCCGTGGGTGGGTGGGTGGATAAATGGATCAACCCCTCGGCTCAGCCTCGGTGTGTTCCTGCATGGGGGTGATTTAAGCTTCAAGTAACGAGGTTTATCTTTTTTCTTTTTTTTCGTCTTGTCTTGTCTTGTCTCAGCTGGAAAGAGATTTTTATTATTATCATTATTATTGGTGGGGGAGGGGGAGAGTACATGGGGTGTCACTCGGTTGGGTGGGTGGGTGGGTGCCTGGGGGTGATCTAGTAGTTGGTTGGTTGGTTGGCTGGTGTGGGGGAAGGGGGGAGGATGGGAGTACCGGTATCATACCAGCTGGAAAGTAATGATGGCAACTGAGATGAGGCTCAGATTAACTTTGTAATATCGATCTCGGAAAAACTAGCGTAAGGTGTCAGGGGAACTCGTGGCCGTTTGGAAAAGTCCGTTCATTTGCGTGGGTGGGCGGATTTCGGGAGTGGGTATACTCACTCCCCTGCACCATGCTTTCCGTCACGGATTCCTGCTGCTCCCGATGACTGGGTTCAGTCGATCGATATCGGACCCGAGAAAGGGGGCGGTGGGAACTCAAGCTCAGGTACAAGAGTGGGCAGTGCCACGGTGCGCCGGTGTGCAGGTACAGGACAGTACTACGCCCTCCGGTATCATATCAGTCAGTCTGCGTGTATCATGCCACGGGCCAATAGCACACAAATCTGTGTGATATCATACGATGCGGTGCGGTGCAGTACAGTACCGTAGGCAGATTCGCCACCCGTCATCACGGCTCAGGGGGTGGGTGGGCTATCTGCTCGGCGAAGGATATGGTATGGCACGCTAAATAATGCCGTTTGCTATATACATCGTCAGTTCCACCAACTTTATACTGTAAGTTCCTTGTGAAGTTTACTCGTACGTGTCAGATGATTTATTTATCGGAATGACGTCCACATTTAACTGCCACTATTACTTACCACCGGTACGGTGCTCGAGTAAGGCTCTTTCAAATTTCGGTTGGATTGATCGATGGGTGTGTGTGTGGTTTGCTTACTACATACGGTACTAGTGCATCACCAGTTCCACCCACCCACACAGTAGAGTACAGAACAATAGTGTATTATACGTCCGATATCGGTCCACCAAGAACCACAACCTAAAGTGTCCATCATCATTCGTTTCAGAAATCAAATCTCACCCTCCGACGCAAGTCCTACTCGGACTGCAAGATCCACACACCCATCCGGGACCCAGGTACACTGCACTGCACTACACTACACTACCTGTACAGTACAGCACCAACCACACACCTTCCAGAATCAAAAGGGGAAGAAAGAAAGAAAGAAAGCCTCACACAGCAAACGGAAAAATCTCCGAACCTTACAGGAGAACGGACGGATACGACGAGGGCGACAACGCCCGCATGCGCTGAAACCAGCCATCCAGCCAGCCATCCAGCCGGTCACCCGGGTGCCGAAATGCCGAAGGGAGAAAACATCGTCCCCATCATTTAACTCGAACCAGCCAATCACGCACCTCACCTCACCTGACCGCACCGCGTCGCGAAATAATAAAGTTCTATCCGTCCATCTGCCCAAGGCAACCGACGTGGAATCAACGAAATGCAGGCGGGGGTAAGGGGAAGGGGGGAAAGCTGGATGGTTCGGGTACTGTACGGTACGACAAGTGCACACATTTCAGGTATCGGAGGCTCTCCGAAACGGAAAAACCGTTTTTCGTCATGTCATTCAGCTGGGTTTTCGCCACTGTTATTGCGTGTGCGGTGTGTGTAGTGCGGTGTGTTGGGTAAATTAATAAACGCCGTGGCGGGGCGGTTGTCAAGTCAGGACGGGGGGAATTTGCACTTTTTGTTTTTCATGGGGTGTCACTCGGTGTGTTGATGCTTTGGTTCTCCCTGTGGTTGTTGGTTGATGGGGTGTGTGGGGGGGCAGGAGGATGCGCTTCTGCTGGATTTTTTGGGTGGGTGGATGTGGTGAGAGGTCGGGGGGATTTTTGTGGTGTGTGGGATTGTGTCACTCGTCCGTGGGACAAAAGGACCGTTGCGCGGTGAAAACTTGGGGGTTTGTCCGTCATGGCGTTTTCGCTCACGTGATTTGGTTGAGGTTGCTGTGAGAACTTTATCGTTTGTGTAGGGGTTTGTTCCGCTTATGCTATGATGTGATATTATCATAATATTATATTATAT